TGGCGCTTCAGAAGGCGTGGGACGATATTGACGTCGGCTACCTGCGGCGTACGGTCGATTCAGTCATCGAAAGTCTGAAGGCCTGTGTAAGAGCAAAAGGATCGAACTTTGAACACCTCCCGTCCTAAATGATCTTGTAGTTCTACTCTATTCCTCACTAAGTTTATTTGTCTCTCTGGTCCCTATCTTTGAAGTTACGCTTACAAATGCGGCGTCCTATACTTTTCAGCCACCCTGTAGAATCCTTCGTATAATCGTTTACGTACAAACACAATACAAGAGGTTTATTCACCGTAAACACTCATCGCTAAGACACTTTGCATATTACTTTACTTTCTTCACGTGGGAACACAGTCGACTACCTGCAATTAGAATTATACGGCAATCGGCGTTGGTACCATCTTTTGATCCCTGATTAGAACAACTTCAGCCTCCCAGTATTCCCCCACCCCTCCCCCTTCTTGCTGATAGAGTCAACCGAATATAGCTGTAAAATAAACTCATACATTAGCGTACTTGACGATCTTGTTGTTCGGCTGCTGATCGCATAGTTTCGGCCATTTTCTGTAGCTGTACATCGTCGTAGTCGCCAAAAAATGATACATCGCTATCGGCCAATTTCTCATTCCACGATTTCATGTCGAATTTTTGTCGTCGCCGATCTTCCGTGTTCAATTTTCCTTTACGTTCTACGGACAGCTTCTTCGCACCAGGGAACATCGTGTAACTTCCTCCTCCCACTGCACCGGCGTAAGCTCGGTCTTCCATTCTGAAAAATTTAGTGAAAAAAAATTGAATTAGTCGACCTGAAGATGGAACACTCGGGGAGTGTCAGGGTCTTTACGGTGGAGTTTTCATTGCTAACTCTGCTCGAGCTCGTTCGACGCACTCCTTGTTACAACATCCACGGGACCCTGAACTTTTATGGTCGTTTCCAGGAAAAAATCACTGACGCTGCAAAATATGAAACTAACCATCATTTGTGAGAGAAATGCTTGCTTCACTTTCATAGCATCTAAAGCAGATGTTATGGTCACAAAGGCCGAACTGGACAATGTAGTCTTCGGGAGCCCAAGTACCGCATGCACCATTGCATTGAATGAGTCGTGGGAGCACAACTTCACCTGAAATGACGACCAGATGAATGATGCTAATTGCATAGTAATCCTATGCAAGTCTCTGAAGAGTAAGTCAAGGCAGGAAGGACCGCAGCTTCCGAAAGATTAGTGATGCTGATCTAAATGTTTTTTGTCTTCTTCTCCACACCTCAACGTTATTGAACACATCCCATGCTCCTTGTCTCTTTTCGCCCAGTTCTGGAGTTAGATCGCTCGTAGAATAGTTTTCTCGACGTGCATAGAAGCTCAGAGACGCTCGCACCGTTAGGCTCAAGTGGTTAGGACGACCTTGTAGATTGTCGGGATTCTGATCCATGAAGTTAACACGAAGCTCTCGAACATCCTTATATAACATTTTAAATAAGAGCACCCTGGTTACCCAAGGCTTCGTTGTCGACAGTATCAGAGGCCTTCTGCAAAGTTATGAAGTCAGACATAACAGCATCCTGTATTCTCGCGAAATTTCAATGAGTCTTGTAACAGTGCGGACGTGATCGATGGTAGTGAATCCTCCCAAACCCTTTTTGCTCGCATATTTGTCCTTCTTCAGTAATCTGTGAGGATGGCGCGTGAGAAAAGTTTGTAAATCACAGACAGGAGCCAGATTGGGCGTTACTTCCCAGTAACGCCAGATCTCCCGCCTTATACAGCAACACAGTCTTGTTAGTTTTCCACGACATGGGCGCTTTGCATTCCGACAGGTACCAAGTGAAAAGCCTAGGCAGTCCTCGGACGATAACTGCTGGAAGCAAGGGTAAGGATAACCGAAAGACCAAAATATCCTCTCGCCTTAAATGGTAGGTAGGCAAGTAGAAGTGGCTGTCGAAGAGATCATGGTAGAAGTGTAGATGACCTTCTCCGTCCTTCGAGTCAGTAACTGATCCGTCAGGACGGCGAAGAGAATTCATCATGGTCTTGTGATTGGCGAAGCTCCGTCGGGCTTTGCGAACGCTCTTTCCGGCCTGGATGGCTTCGTCCATAACTGCTGCTCTTCTCTCTTTCAGATCTTCCTTTATCGCTTCTCTGCATAGCTTCGCAAGTTCGGACGTTTGTTGATAATTGCCTGCAGCTCGCGCGATTCCACGCTGGCGTATCAGCTCGAGAGTTCTCGAAGAGAGTCGTCTCTTTGCTACTTGTAGACTCTCTGCTTTCCTAGCGCCATCGACAAGATGTTCGACAAGCCGGTTGTATTCTTCATCGATGCTATCGATAACGGAATCATCTCATTCACTCACAATGGGAACGGAGTGGTCCCAGTTGATGGAGGTTTTGAGACTTCGTTTCCTAAATTTCATAGCAGACAAAACTTCTGATCGAAGACGATGGTGTTCACCAAGTGACTCCAATGTCCGTCACAAATGAGAGGGCTTCTGGAACTGCGAGTTACCAGGGATAGTGTGAGTCGACATGGTGAACTCGGGCAACCTTTTACTTTGTTTATTCGGCTTCGTTCCGTGGGTTCCGATATGCAGCTCTTCAGCCGTTCTTCTAGGGCCAACCTTGGCATTGAATTCACCGACGATGACGTTACAGAGAGTTCGGTCCTCCTTAAAGAGCCTTTCCAGATCCATGTTGAGCTCCACTTCTTCGTAGCTTGATATTGGTGCGCAGGTGGCGAAAATTGTTAGAACTGCGATTCTTTGCTACACATCTTCTTAGCAAACATCGGGTGTGGACTGCCAAGCTTCTGGTTGTCAACCTCTTGTACGAATCGATGGCAATGCAAGAGGAAAACTACACCAGCGAGTCTTCTGCTGCATGCCCCAAGAAAGAGTTCTTCTTGAGTCTCGGAAAGGGCGTACTTCGGGCGATGACTTCCTGACTTGATCAGCTCGACAACGCCGTATTTGGTGTTCTAGCTTGCTTCATCAGATCTTCGACGCACACCCCCGCTGCAAGCGCTCGTGAGAATAGAGATCGCCAACGTAGTCCTTCTTCTTTTGGAGAGCCCGCATGACTCAGAGATTTCGGTATCCTCTGTTGAGCGGTTCTACGCAACGCTGACATGATAATTCCCATTCATTCGAATGAGATCTTTTGGCTGAGAAGTATAATTAGCTTGATCCGGTGCTTTCTCTCCTGTCAAAATAGGCTTTTAAATGGTCAAAGAAGCAAAATTACACAGCAAACTAGTTGTTCCTATTAAATTGAATGATCAACAATGATCATATCTTTTTTGCCTGAGGTTTCCACAAGCCCCATTTTATAGGGACCAAAAGCAAAGCGCTTTGAATTCTGCATAGAATTCGATGATGACATTATGAACAGAAATCGAATGTTTTGACTTGATGTTTTTGTTAACTGCTGTTTTACCGCCGCAGTACGCGAAGCGAAAGTCTCACAAGAATGGCGATTTGTGGGCAAAACTCCAGTCTCGGACGGGACTCGAAGTCCCCGTAAAGGACAAGTACGGGTTCGAGTCCCGTCCAAGATTGGAGTTTTGCCCACAAATCGCCAATCTTGTGGGACTTTCGCTTCGCGTACTGCGGCAGTTAAAACAGCAGTTAACAAAAACATCAAGTCAAAACAAGTACTAACATGTAAAGCTCACAGCTTAACGGTTCTGTGCTGATATTGGCCGACCGGCTCAACACGTTGTACGTGTGAGTGCTGATAAGCTATCCTACTTTATATAATTCGCTAAGTGTGCCTGTTGGTGTGTCGGTGTGTGTGCGTGTGTCGGTGTGTGTGTTTGACCGGAAATTCATAACTCCTGTTCCCGTGGACTTAGAAAGCTCAAATTTGGCAGGAGTGCAGGGGACAGCACGGGAACACAAAGGGCAGGTGGCAGGACCGGACTCCGCCTACCGGGAGCGGG